TGGGGGGGGAGCCGGTCATGGGGCCTGAACTCTGGGGCTGGGCGCTGTCCCTCAGCTCTTCAGCTCAAGGCTAGAGCTCTACCACTTGAGACACAGCACCACTTCCGGCTTTTTTTCTTTTTGCTTATGTGGTGCTGAGGAATCGAACCCAGGACCTCATGCATGCAAGGCAAGCGCTCTACCATTGAGCCACCTTCCTAGCCCCCACTTAGTCATCTTGTAGTGTTGTTGTTGTTGTTTCTTTTATACTAGTTCTTAGGCTTGAACTCAGAGCATCAGTGTTTTGCTCAAGGCTGGCACTCTAATCCTTGAACTCCACTCCATTTCTGGCTTTGGGGTGGTTAGTTGGAGATAAGAGTATATACAGTGGAATTCAATGCCTCCACCAGAAAGAATGACATTGCTCCATTTGTTAGGAAATGGAAAGACTTGGAAAAAATTATATTAAGTAAAGTAAGCCAGGCCCAAAGAAACATAGGTCTCATGGTTCCCTTATTTGCAATAACTAGTATATATCTGAGACAAGCAGAAATGGTAAGATATGTTGATGTTAAGCAAAATGAACCCCAAATTAAGGACTCAAATGTTTTTTTTCTTTCTTGCTATTGTGTCTAACATATTTATAAGATATTTCTTTGTTGCTTTGTATGTCCCTCCCCTACAGTATAACCTCTGTTTTCACTGTATTTGATGTTGGTATAATTTGTACAGGGGAAGGGAAAAAACAAATTGTTTAAATAAGGATACAGGTAGACCCATTGCACCAATGAGATGTACAAGATGTTATGTCAAAATTGAACTTTACAACTTTGGTGGAGGGGGGGATGAGGAGAGAGGACATGGGAAGAGATGGGAAGGGGAAACAAAGGAGGAGACAACAATATTTGTTAAGAAATGCACTCATTATCTTGTCCATGTAATTGTAACCCCTCTGTACGGCATTTTTACAATTAAAAATAAAGAGTATCAAGGACATTCCTGTCTGAGCTGACTTCAAACCACAGTGCTCAGATCTCAGCCTCCTGGGTAGCTAGGATTACAAACATGAGCCACTGGCCCTCAGCCATGTTAGAATTTTTACCTCAGATGAATTTATCTTTATTAACCATATGCTCCTGTTCAGTTAGAAAACCTAAAAATGAACTCAATAATTTCATTCAACATCAACTTTAACCATAGCTGGCTCAGGAAAAACAGATATATCTAAACTAAGTATTTGGATGCTATTTTAATGTGAAGAAATCTAGACTGGGTATTTTCTAAATTGATGATGGATTTTTCACATCATCTAAGAACTGCAATCCTTACAAGGACCAAGAATACTGAAAACTGAAAAGCAATTGACAAAATGAGATTTTAAGTAAAGTCTGGGATCTCTTTATTTCTTCCACTTGGGCTGATATAGTGCAGAAGTGAAAGTGAGTGATAAACAGCTTGCATGGTTTTCCTTGGTCCAGGGGCTAACAATGGTGTTTGGGTACATTTTAATAATTATATAGATAACGAGACAATATTTTTACTTAGCCTACAATACATAGAACATTTTCTACCTTTCACTTTAAGAGAAATTTTCTGTCCCTTGGTCTAGGTAATTTTTTTAAACAAAAATGAAATTAAAGCTCTTGAGAAATTATTGTATTGCCAGTAAGAGGATAAGTGGATACTGAGTTTACTATGAAACATTTTGGCTCCTATCCACTAATAATTTTCTGTCTGGAATCTGTTACTTAGGGTTTTATTTGTCATTAAATGTTTGGCATCTTTCTTAGAAAGGATGGATGGCTATTTCCTACTAAACTAAACAAAAATAAAATGTGTTATGTAACATTTCATAAGCATTCATTTAGATAGATAAACAGAAAGGGAAGATAGAGGAATCTGGTACTTACTGAGGAAAAGACAAAGAATCTTTTCTCACACATTCAATTTATCATCAAATGCTAAAAGTGAAAGTACCTTGGCCCAATGACTAGAGATTACCTCTGGACAGTCAGGCCAAATGGACAGGATGGCTCAGAATTAGGGCAGCAGTCTTTTCAGTTGTACTATCCATCCCCAGACCATGAACATCTCAGCTCTGGAAAGCAAATAGTCTTTCAGCAATCATTTAGCAGTCGCTCAGGAATTCTGGCCTGAAGACCACTGAGTAACTCCAGTCTCCTCAGGACAGAGCTCAACCCTGCTGTCTAGCTCAGATACTAAACTGAATCAAAATTAACCCCTGAATGGCCAACAGTCCTTCCACTAGCAGTGCTGTCATTGCTGACACTTAATCTTTCAAGTAATTTTAAAGGAAGAATATCTCTGTGATCTGTTTCAGTTTTACCAAAAAAAATTCATAAGACTAGAATTATGATCACTTGAACAGTCTAAGAATATTAATGGTGACTCACACCTGTAATCCTAGCTACTTAGCAAGCTGAGATCTGAGGAGAATGGTTTGAAATCAGCTTGGGAAGGAAAGTCCATGAGATTCTTATCTCCAGGTAACCATCAAGAAGCTGAAGTAAAGTTGTAGCTCTAGAGATAGAGTCTTGAGCAAAAACACTAAGAGATAGCACCCAGGCCCTGAGTTCAAGCCTGAGTATGGGCACCCACACACCCCAAAAAAATACTGTTTAGTTAGGACTGGTGACTCGCATCTGCAATCCCAGCTAGTAAAGAATTGGAGGTCAGGAAGATCTCAGGCTAGCACATCTAGCCTAGTTAGTGCAACCCATTTCAACCAATAAGTCAGGTATGGGGCTTCATGTCTAATCTTAAATATGTGAGAGGAATAGTTAATCATGGTCTAAAGCTAGCAAAGATTCCACAACATAATACTCTATCTGAAGGCAGCTAAAGCAAAAGAGTTCTGGTGGTGTGGCTCAAGTGGTAGAGTAATCATCTAGTAAGTAAAAGACTCTTAGTTCAAACTCCAGTAGCAAGAAAATAAGGAAACTAAATTTGGAGCTACTTAAGTTAAATGATACCAATGTTTAAATCAAAATTCATACACACTTTATTAGAATGTGACAATAGTCTCAGCATGCTTTGGTAGTTAAGTTTTCATTGATGGAATTTGTATATTTTTAGATTTTTATCTCCCCTAAGGAAAGTATGTCTAATATAAACAAATTTCTCAATAATTTAGTTTTAAAAGTAATCTATGTAGCATAATTTCATATTTGTGTATTTACCAATTATCTAAATTGATAATGGCCAAGTCAGGCTATCCCTTGGCTTTTTCACTCCAGCCATGGTTTCATTTCTTGATTTTGTGTGTGTGTGTGTGTGTGTGTGTGTGCGCGCACGCGCGTGTGCGTGCATGTGTGTGTGTGTGTGTTAAATTGGAGTTTCACAGACTTTCCTCTCTGGGCTGGCTTGTAATTATGATCTCAGCCTCATGAGTAGCTAGGATTATGGCTATGAGCCACTGGCTCTGAGCTTTGTCAAGCATTTTAAATGTGATTGAATGACATAATGACCACCACAACCGTCATCTTTTATTATGCTCTTGAAATTCTAATCATATTTATTTTTATAGTATATCTATGAGAAATTTGGACATTAAGATCAACAAACATGGGGTTAAGGATGGGTTGCTTACATAAATGCACAAATATGGTGATGTAAAAATAGTGTTGTTTATAAGTTGTACTGTTTACAACTTTGTTTCTACCAGACAAAATAAACAATATAAAGGTTTTAGAAATTTGGAAAGAAAACTTCAGTCTTGAAGTCTCCTAGAGTGCCTAGATTCCCATTTGATGCAATAATTTGCAAAATGCAACTTGTTTGTATGAGATATATAAGCCCTCCATGGGTAACAAAAATGACTCATGGAACACGAAGGAAATTACTGAATGCAACAGGCCCGGAGGAAGGATTCATTGCATTTAGAATCTTTCATGGTTACAAATAATGATAAGCAATCACTGTCATGCTATTGCATAATAAAGCCTGTTAACATTGATTCTTCTTGATTTCCTTAGGAAAAAAATCAGCAAAAAAAAAAGAAAGAAATTACAGTGCACAACAAAATCAGAGCAACTATTAAAAACAATTAAAACTGTCCACCCAAGTAACCCTTCTATCCGCTACATGGACTGTGAGAGTTTGACATGTTTTTGGTATGGTGAGTGAGTGGGATCTCCAGGAGAGGGGGAGGGGGCTGTTTCTGTTAGGAATGCTGAACGCAGAACATGGGAGGGTCCAGAGAGATGCTGTGCTCTGCGTCTTTACAACAGGGTTAGATCCTCAAGTGGGTGTGGTATTTCTGTTCCCACCAGAGCATCAGGCTCAAATTTCCAGACTGAAATTATAGTTGATCCCTCCACCTCAGAACTGCCAGTAGAAAACAAATCAAAAACACTCCCCATCCCCACAGCTCCTCCCACTCACAAGATTTCATGAAGTTAAGCAGAAAAAACTCCAGTTTCACTTGATTTCAGGTTGAATAAATGCATTTGATCACTTGTTCAAGAACTACCCTGAGTGTATTTTAAATATATGAAAAGGTGGGTGCGTCTTTTGTGTCTTTTGATGATGTGTACATCATAAAAAGGTGGGGGGGGCCACGAAGGAACCAGGTCTTCCATTTGTTTGGAAGGCCTCTGTTTAAACCTACGAAATCCCGGAGGTGGCCCTGTGCGTGGGAGCTGAGCATCCCACGGAGCCTGGGAGCCTCGGGGATTCTGGAAGAGCAATTCCCACGCTCTGGCCTGGTCCGGACGCAGCATGGACCCCAAGGGGCTCCTTCGGTGGCTCACCCCCGCGTAGCCCCGCCCCGGTCGGCCCCCCTCTCCGGGTCCCAGCTCCGGAGCGTGGGAGTGCAGCTGCGGCGGGTAGAATCAGGCGGAGGCGACGCGGAGGATGCGCACCCACCAGCCTTTGGGAAGCCGAGGATGCAGCGAGGCTGGGGGCAGGGGGAGGGGATTCCCCAGGGGCCGCCTCACCCTGGGACACAGCCTCCCTCTCCCACGCATGCTACTCCTGGCTGGCTGGAGCAGGTCACTTACTTGATATCTTCCCACACCTCGGGGCCGTAATTGCGGATGACCAGCAGCTCCAAGGCGTGATTCACAAATCCGTACTGCAAGGAAGCGCAGGGAGAGATGGAGCGTCAGGGGCCCGCCGCGGTGGGAGGGGGTCTGGGAGCACGTCGTGGCTCCCCCAACCCGTCCCCTCACCCTCGGGCTGCGCTAGGTTTAGGGCTTAGCATACGCTAAGATGAGTGGATCGCCGAGGGGGACACCTCCTAACCCGGGGCAGATAATGTCACCGTCCACCCCATTCCCACGCCATCTTCTTGGCCCTGCTCACCTGTCCGGGTTTGCTCTGTGGACCGCGCGCGCGGGGACGTGTGCCCGGAGCCTCGCCAGCCTGGGCGCTGGGTCTCCCACGCCCTCTGGGCCTGACCCAGTCCGGAACACCTCGCGCCCGCAGCACCTCCCCTTCCCGAGCACGCAAGGCGGGGGCACCGCACCCGGGACCCCGCTGGGAAGCAGAGGCATGGATCCTTCGGGCTACTAAGGCGGCCGTTCCCACCTGGGTTGCCAGGACCCGGGCTCAGAAAGCGGCCAGCCCTGGCGCCCCCAGGGACCTAGAGTCACCTCTCCGCGCTTCCCGGGGACGGTCAAGATCAGCCCTCCCCAAGGTCTACCCAACCTGCCTGAAATCACTCACCATGGTGTCACAGCCGGAGCCCCACGGGCAGCATCCACGCACAGGCTCGGCCTAGGGACCCTGGCTACCGCCGCGACAACGCAACCGGGCTGGGGAGGCAGCATAGAGCTGTTGGGAGCACCTCAGCCCCCACCCGCCTTGATTGACAGGTCTCTTCAACCAATGGCTAGTCGAGCCACAGGGGCCGGTCGCTGCTTTCCAGTCCTCAACCAATCAGGGTCAGAAGAGGGAAGTAAGCTGCTTTTGGTGCTTTTACTCTCAATGCCTTCCCTCCCCCATCTGGTGACAAGGCCTTCATTTGAGGCCCTAACCAGGAGGACTGGAAGCTCTAGCAATGCTCTTTACATGAATTCCGTTGAAGGGGACAAAGAAACAGGGAAATGCAGTTGTTGTGATCTCACTACACGTATTCTAATGGAGAGATTGAAAGTTCTGTCTTCTGGTGGTGCTCTCTCTCTCTCTCTCTCTCTCTCTGTCATGAAGTCTTTAAAAGAAATATGTCCATGTGATGGTCAGCCTTCTGGTGTTTATCACGTTCTTGAAGACAAACACTTCCTCTGTGGCTTGGTCTTCCAATAGTTTACGGTTAATGGAAAGTTAAAAGTATTGATGAATGTGTTTTACTTTTAGTGAATGAGTCTTCAGCGAGCCAACCGAAATGTTCAGTAACATTTGGGTAGTTTGGCGAGCTACATTGAAGATATCCAACTCTGTCTTTTGTAAAGTATACAGGATCCATGTACATTTTGGGTTTGGAAAGTGACATCAGTCTCTACATCCAAGTCTCTAACCCTCTAGAACTGGTCTTGGTTGTTTCTCCTAGGTAATTGTTGAACTAGAAAAGATGCAGTATGAAATGCGGACTTTTAATTAATCATCCTTCAATCTGTATCTTAACAGGGCAACATATTACTTAAAGCTTGGAGTCTTAGAACAACGAGGTCAGAAGAACAGAGGCACCTGGATTGTAGCTGTTAGGCAGGTTTAACTTCCACACAGTGTAAGGTTGAAAGCAGGGTCAACCTTCTTGATAGGACCTGAGAAGCCAGGATGATGTTCTAAAATATGAATGATTTCTTGTGAGAACATTCTAAATAGGGCTAGAACAAATGTCAAAATAATAACAGTGTATTGCTGCCAGATGTTGTTGAAGGTTACTGGTATTGAAATAAAACAAAGCAATATATAATCTAAAATTTTTCATCAATGATTTTATGATAAAACGAATTATAATAGTTAATATAATGGAACATCTCACTTTATGCAACTATTGAATATGAAGGCATTATTGCTGGGTACCAATAACACATACCACTTACCTAACTACTCTGAAGACTAATATGCATAAGGTTATGGTTTGAGGCCAACCCAGAAAAAAGTTCACAAAAACTTGTCTAGTGAAAATGCATGGATATGCAGATACATACCTGTCATCCAGTTAGCTCTAGAAGCACAAATAGAAGGCCCATAATCCAAGATTATCTGGGTCAAAAACATCAACGACCCTAACCAGAGGATAAAAGGCTAAAGGCATGGCTTAAGGATTATAGCACCTACCTAAGAAACAGAAAGACATGAGTTCAAAATTTAAGCTAACCTTTAATATTAACCTTTTCATTTTCTAAACCACTAAATTTGCACATCACACTACTATGAAGAAGCACAGGATATAAGATACATCATGGTAAATAAATATATATTGTTGTGTAAAGAAAGATATCAAGTAGAATCACCTTCAGTTTTCAAGTCATTCTATAGAATATGCAAGGTGCTAGCTGGGTGAAAAGAAAACATGTACAGCCACATACATTTCTATAAGCACAGCCTGCTGGGTGAAAGTACAACAAAGTGTTGCTATAGCTGTTGGCTGGAGGGATCAAACTTTTGCCTTTTATTCTGTAGCCTCTGAATTTTTTCACTCTCATAGATGTAACAATTTTAAAATGTAAAGAAATATTTTAAGCCATGTTTTTGTCTAACTTTGAACAGCTGTGTACCTATGGTGTCCCATTGGTGCTTTCATATTAGACTTTACCTACCATCCCAGAATTTGCTCTCTGGGGATAAAGGGTGAGGGAAAAACTGAAGAATAAGCATTCTACTAGTCTCTCTTTGTGTCAATCTTTGTTTCTGTCTGTTTCTCTGCCTTTCTGTCATTTTAACATTCACCCTTTCTCCAAAGTCATTTGTCCAATTACTAGTTTTCATTTATTATGCTCTTCCACAAAACAATTTTGCATTTGTAAGTAATTTTCACTATTTTTTGATTATCTCGTATTTATTCTAGAGCTATAGGAAGTTCATGAACCCATTGCTGGCTTTTTACTTGAGCCACAAGATAACACAAAGGATATGACATTCAAGATCAAGAGGCTCCCTCAGGGGGTGATCACCAAGCTTCTACAAATAGCAGATGCATTGTCATACTGCTGACCAAGGACTACAGAAATAATACCATGAAGTGCTTTTGGCCATATTCTTAGAAACAACATATTTCATTATCTTTTGTGTTTCAAGCTGAGGAGAATCAATTGAAGAAAAAAAGGAGCAGCTTAAAGCATGGTTTAGCCAGCTTGAAAGTCAATATTTAACTATTTGGAGATCATCCAATAAATGAAAAACAAATATATGGCAATATAAAATGTCAGCTGAAATAATACAATTTTAGTTAATAAAAATAAATTAGGAGGTTTGATACTAAAACATACTGTGACCACTATTTTCAATTTTCTGAACATGATAACACTTTACATTGAGGATAAAGAAGACATATTTTCGGGTATTAAGCTCTGCTTGCATTCTTTTAAAGCTTTGATGCTCATCCCACTTTTTTCTGTAATGGAAGCAGAGTTTCTATGATGGATGTTTTTGTGGATCAATGAGCTTTTTAATATCAACAATTCCTCAAATAATGATTTACTTTTAACTCATATGCTTGAATACATCTCTCTCAGAGCCTCATTATTGGTTTTTTTTGAAACTCTTTTATAGAGATACACAAAATTTATACCTTTAGGAATTTTTACTAAATGTTACTTGATAGTTAAAATGAAAAGCTCAGAATGCTTCCAAAATAATAGAAGGGTGCATTCTAATATTTGATAATGGAGTAAAAATCATAGATTGGAAAAAAGACAACCTCTTCAACAAATGGTTTTAGGAAACTGGAAATCTGAATGCAGAACAGTGAAACTGGATCTCCATTGGTCACTTTGTACTATATGAATTGAAAAATGGATCCAAGACCTCTTAAATCCATGAAACTACTACAGGAAGGAGGGAGAGAAACAAAACTTCTCTGAGTAATACGTTTCAAGGGCTCAGCAAATCCAAGAAGGAATTAACAAATGAGATTGTATCAAACTAAGAAGTTTCTGAATGGCAAAGGACAGAGTTAACAAGATTAAAAGGAAGTCTACATAATAGGAGATCTTTGCCAGACATATGTCTGACACTGACCTAATAATATCCAGATTATACAAAGAGCCCAAGAAACTCAACTCTTAAAGAATCAATAACCCAATTAATAAATGTTAAATGAGCTAAATAGAGAATTCTCAGAGGCAGAAGTATAAATGATGAACAGACATATGAATAAATATTCAACATCTCCGGCCATAAAAGGAACACAAATCAAAATAACACTGAGATTCCCTCTCACCCCAGTTAAAATACAAATAACAGATGCTGGCACAGATGTAGGTAAAAAGTAACCTATTATACCGTTGGTGGGAATGTGAAATTGTTTAACCACTCAGCAAAGCAGTTTGGAGATGCCTCAAAAATTGAAATATAGAATTACCTTATGATACTATTCTTTGGACATTTATTTAAAAGGTTACAAATTAGGATACAATAAAGCCACCCACACAATCATGTTCATTGTTCCACCATTCACCAGAGCCAAGGTACAGAAACAACCCATATATCCTTCAATGGATGCATGGATCAAGAAAATGTATAATATATACACAATGGAATTTTACCCATTCATTAGGAGGAATGATATTAAACCGGAGGGACTTGGTAAAAATTAGGGTGAGTGAAGTAAGTTAGGCCCAGAAAGACAAAGCTTTCATATATAGAAGCTAGAACTAATATATAAATATACAAGTAAACACAATGAGGCTGTATGCAGTCGTACCCCAATTTATTAACTGATATATAGTATTTTCAGTAGATAATTTGAATAGCATAATTAATTCCCTAGAAAAACTAATTCATAGCCCAACAAAATGACTATCAGGAAACGCACTTGAAAAGTGAATGGAGTGGGTCAAGGGATGGGGTAGGCAAATGAAGAGAGGAAGGCAGGGAAATCATTATCACAACACTTACTGCATATGTATGAAGCTAAATCATTGAAAGGAGGGCTTGGGTTGGGAGGGATGTGCGATAATTATGAAAGGGGTGACATTGATCAAGAAGTATGTACTCATAAATTAATTTGTTGAATGCTAAATGTTTTTTACAACTACTACATGGTAATAAAATAGCTTTATTTCTTAAAAAGAAATAGCCTATTTGAGAGGTTCCCTTAAGGCATACACCCTATTACACCCTATTAGCAATTTTACCATTTCTAACTGAGCACACACACACATTGTGTGTGTGTGTGTGTGTGTGTGTGTGTGTGTGTGCTTGGTTAGACTTTTGAAAATGATATTGAATGTTCTATGAAGCCCATATGAACTTTTTTGTGAAAGTCAGTTTTGTTAAGTACTTTAATTCTCTGTGATTGGTATTTGTTCATATTTCTCATTTTCCACCATTTCTTAAGTAGTTGCTGATCACCTAGCTTGTAAAAATCCCATTAGGTCAGTTTATCTAGACACTCCTTTATCCCTGATGTTTCATCTAGCAACAGATCTCTCACCTTACTTCTTAGTTATACATTCCCACATGCTCACCTTGGACTGGAACCCAATCTTTCTACTCCACTGGAAATCCCATTTCAGTGGTGCCTGTACCTGTCATGGTGATGCTCAATAAAGTTATTGTTACCACACTTTAGCATACAACACTGAGTCATTTTTTCATTAACAGACATTCAACTAGAATGTCCATTAGCTGCACCAACTTTTCACAT